ATTAATTTTATCATTTGAGAGCCCTACTTTGTTGCACTCTTCCAGTGATGTTAACACCATTGATTTCAGTGTTGAAGTGGACTAAAGCAGGTACAAAGAGCACAGACCATCCAAAGAAACTGCACTGGGAAAAAGCTATTGCTTAATCTGCACCCCAGATCAGAGGCAAGAGGTCAAAAAAGCCCCTGTTTTAGCTTTAATAACAGAAACCAAATGTATGGTGCTCCAGTTCACATAATCATTCTGAAGTCTGGATGATTACCTGAAGCACCGTAATTGATCTGCAAAACAGAACAGGATGCCTCCACCATTCTTCCATCCTCTCCTTCAGTGACTCTGTGACACACTGTACTTCAAAATAGCACCCTGAAAAAACCCCAAACTCATCATTCGTAGATTGTCATATTTCATACAAAGCATGCCATGTAAGATGCTATATGAAAGGTCACGATCTGCTGAAACCCATTGTTCTGGCCAAATATGTAGATCATTAGTGTGTATAAAGTTATAAAAGTTGCTGTACAGTGTTACTGAAATATGCTGTACATTTACTAGTGACATACAAAGGACCTCCACCCAGAAGGCCATTAATTAGCAGGGGAGTTGTAATCCAGGGATTTACAATTCTATGAAGGCTACCCAAGCACCACACAATGGGAACTGCTCAACTCTATGACTCAGACCACACCAGGTTGATTGCTCAACCCAGGCACTCAGCAAAGCCTACCAGGACATGTCTGGGCGAGTGCGTCTAGGCACATGGACTAAGGATATAAAATAGGGAACAGTAACAGCAGGCCTTTACCTTTCTCCTCCCCCACACCTATGCTAGAAGCAACAGGAATGTGGAGAAGGTGAAGGTAATCTGAGGAGATTGGTCCGGGCTTAAGGAGAAGCCTGTGCATTAAGAAGTGTAACATCCAGTGGGCTGAGAAAAATTCTGATCTAAATACTGCCTTGTGTAATAAGGTTTAAGATTTAGATTGTACATTTATATTTTATTTTCTTTGCTAACTTTCTCTGATCCTTTATGCCTACCACTTAAAATCTATCTATCTTTCTATAGCTAATAAATCTGTTTTATACTTTACCTAACACAGTGTATTTTGCTTGAAGTGCTTGAGAAATCTCAGCTCAGTTACAGAGTTCGGACCAGGGCAAGAAGGTACAGCCCGGAGTGTAAGGCTGGGGAGGAATTGGCTGGAGCCTCTCTATTGTTGGTTCATGAGTGGCTGGTTGGGTTCATTGGGTACAAGCATTCATGTAACTAGGTTGGGTGTGTTCCCGCTTGTGGATGGCTGTGTAAATTCAGTAACTGCCAGACAACAGTGAGAGGGAGTGCAGGCTGGTGGGTCAGAGGGCTCAGCAGTACCCCAGTTCCAAGTTGCACCCCAGGGATCCTGTCACACCCTCCTGAAAACACACACGAATTCAAAAGGCCTCTAAACCCTACCTCTCCTCATCCCAAATAAGCATTAGATAAAGGAACTTGCAATTCCTATGTGAACAGAAAGAAAAGGAGTACTTGTGGCACCTTAGAGACTAACAAATTTAAGTTTTTTCATGAAATTGGTTAGTCTCTAAGGTGCCACAAGTACTCCTTTTCTTTTTGCGAATACAGACTAACACGGCTGTTACTCTGAAATATGTGAACAGAGTACTTTGTCACTGGACTTGCTGTTGCTTCCCCTTCCTCTGTACTTCATGTAAACTGTCTGTTTAGACTATAAGCTCTTTGAGGCAGGGATCCAGTCCTCATACTTTGCACTGGTGATTTTTAAAAGTTACCCTTTCAAAAGAAAAGCTTTGCAGGACAGCTGCACCAAAAGGGAAAAATGAGAAAACATGTCTCCGTAAACAGGATTAAGAACTCAAGCCTGCCCCCTCTCAAGTTAATAGGAATATTGCAATTGGCTTTGATGAGAGTAGAAGGGCAGGCTCTAAGTCAGCAAGGAAGGCACTCAGATACTACACTTATGAATGCCATATAAGTGTCTAGAGAGAGCAAAACATAGGACCAGTGATTTCCTCCATGCAAACACCACAAGTGTCTGACATAATGGTGATTTTTCTGATCAGCTAGATGTTAACAAAAATAAACCCCAAATAGCTAGTAATAGTGAGGTAGATAGATCTTTGGAGCTCTGACCTATTTGATGAGAAGGTTAGCACTGAATTTAAAACTGTTGCAAGCAAACTGATACAAAGAAAACTCTCATTCATTTTTTGTAAATAACTAATTGTTGGGGGAGGGGGGAGGAGAAACCAGGCTTGACATCTTTAAGGTATTAGAAAATTCAAATCTTTCTATTTATATTTCCCCCCCCCCAACACACACACACAGACACACTTCTTCCTCATCTAGGAAGAAGACCTGAAAAGCAGCCCTATGTAAGCTCCAAAGCTTGTCTCTCTCAACAACAGTTTGTCCAATAAAAGATGCCATTTCCTCCACCTGGTCTCATCCATAACATTCACTGAGCAGATATACATGATGGTCAGTGCACTAACGTTCTTATTCTACAGGTTTAACTTTTATTTCAATGCCACATATAGGACGGGTACCTGAGTAGCTTTAGCATCACATCTGAAAAGAGAAAAAAAAAAATCCAGTCTCCCTGCCGAGTTCAGGTATGACAACTATCCACCTGGCTATCACCCTCCACCCATTACTTTCAGTATTATGTGGTGTTGTATGTATACAAGGCCAAATTCTGGCTCAAGGTTCAAAAGAAAAATAATCAATCTTCAAATAAACTAAAGCAAATACTGGAATAGCAGCATTAACGTTTTCCTATATTCTGGCTGTCCTCTCTCTAGACAGATTACACCTGTTTATAGGAGCAATCTGCATTAAGGAGGGTGGGGGGCATCAAGTAACCTCAACTGCTCAGTGGACACCTATAAGGATTGCATCAAAGCCTTTCTGAGGGCAGGTCTACACTACTGCATAAGTTGGTCTAAGCTATGTCGCTCAGGGGAGTGAAAAAGACACCCACACCCCATAGCAATGCAAGTTACCGTGACCTAAGCACGGTCATAGAACATACAACAGCGCAGCTGCACCGATGTAGCATTTCTAGCGTCGACCTGCCCGGAGCCTGAAAAGTGACAAGCATCCTCGACTTCTCCTTAAGTCCCTGAAGATTGAGGGCACTCAGGACCTCGTGGGATAAGGCCTAACTCATCAAGCAGCTCCCAAAATATGGGGGGGAGGGAGGAATGCAATCACTGTACACAGAGGTTAAGTACTGTATTGGGATTACTCTCTAATTCCCAATGGAAGGAACAGACTTTCTTCCTTCTGCTCCTTGACTTGCTGAAAATCTTTTAGAAACATTACCTCACTCTAAGAAATCCTGCCTAGTGACAACAACCAAGTTTTAAAAGCAAAAGAAGTGTGGGTAAGACTAAATAGTTTAACTATGCAGTCCTCACAATTATTACCACATATTATAATGTACATAATAATCATAGGTTTCAGAGTAGCAGCCATGTTAGTCTGTATCCGCAAAAAGAAAAGGAGTACTTGTGGCACTTTAGAGTCTAATAAATTTGTGTAGCTTACAGCAGATGATGTTTCTCAAATATCAAGCCAAATTCTGAAGCCTTTTATTCAGTTTCTACTCATCTTTCTCCCCAGGAGAAACTCTTACTGGAGGTTGGGGATGAATAAGGACTGAGTAATTGCCAGTGCGAACAAATGTTCTGTGACATCCAGACAGCTCACATAGGGTTGTGATTTTTAAAGCCTCTGGAAGAGGAAAGTAGCCAGAATCACAGTAGACATCAGGTAGGAATACGAGGCTTTCTGAATCCGGGCAATTTCACATTGCAGTATGTGCAGAGTTGCAGAATGAGATAAAGTCATTCCTCCAGCAGAACCCTCCTGTGGCTGCTCCCCTTCCTCCCCAGGAACAGCCTTGAAGAAAGCCACCCACTGAGACACACCCACGCTCCCTGAATTCTCCGTTCATCACATTCAAAAAGTTCAGTTCTGCCGCCCGAGTTCTCGCCAAGCACCAAAAATAAAACCCCAGAAGAGCTGCACTTTGCATTTTCACCCAACACCGACACACACACACACACACACACACTGCAAGAAGCTATACCAACCTCCTGTCCCCGCCACCTATGGCTCTGTTCACTGGGCACACAAAGCCGGGGGCGGGAGGGGTCGCATCTCCATTCCCCAAACCCCTCCCCACTTGTGTCACTAGCCATACAACCCGCTGGCTGGAGCTGCAACCCCCTCCTCAGGATTCCTGGTCCTCAATTCTCTGTCTTCACCCCAAACCCCACACAACCTCCCCTTCCCCCCGCCAGCTCTCAGTCCGCTCACCACCACCAGAAGGGCGCTCCGAATCGCGACACGATCTTCATTTGCCCTGCTCCTTAAATACTCCCATCAAGTCAGTGCCGAAGCTTCTGCCAGCCCCAGGCACCCCCACTGCTTCAGTTCACTCGACAAAAAGCCCAACAGTGCTGAACCCCGCGACTGCCTCGGCGGCTCTCCCCCTACCCACAAAACCCAAGCGCCCGTGCCCCGATCTCTCTACTACGAGCTATGAGAAAGCAAGGGGGACCCCCCCCCCCGCCGGTTCTCTCTAGTCAATGAGCCCCATCAGAGCCAGGAAAAGCTGCAGCTCCAGGGTAGGTCCCAACCCCCCCCCCAACACACACAATCCCTTCGGTTCACGCTGGCCCAGGCTAAGGGGGGGGCTGGGAACGACGCTCCCTTTGTTAAATGAACCAGCGTCGTGCGCAGGATGGAAGCAGCCGGCCCCTCTCCCTGGGCTGAGCGGGTCTCCCCCAACCCCAGCCGCGCGGCTTCGCCCACCGGCGCGGCTGGGAGCCCGGCTCGCCAGAGCCGCCCACGCCCGCCCGGCAAACTCCGAAGCGCCTCCGTGCGCGCTGCGCCCCGGTTAGCCACTTGCCGCCCGCCAGGGACTCCGGGCGCCGCAGAGCAGCGGGGGACCGAACCAGCGCCCGGCACTCACCGCGCGGCGGCAGAGCGGCTCCCTGCCTCTCGCCCGGCAGCGGCGTTCGCTCCCCCTCTTTCTGCCCGGCCTCGCACGCCCCGCGGCGCGGCGCGGCTCCCTCCGAGACCCGGCCCCGCCTCCCCCGGCACGCCGCGCCGGCTTCCCCTATTGTCGGCCGCGCCGAGCCCAGGCGGCAGCCCCCGGCCGCCCTCCCAGCGGCTCTTCCCCCCGCCCTGGGCTGGGTCCCTCTCCCATTGGCTGCTGGGGGTGGCCTCTCCCCTCCCCCCTGGGAGGTAAGGAGTGGGAGCGGGACACGTGAGGGTGAAGCAGACAGGAGGCTTGCAGGGTGATGTCATTTGGGAATGAGGTAGAGGCGGCTGGGATGGGGAGGGGGGGCTGCGAGCCGGCAGCGGGAGCCCAGGCAATCCGCCCCCCCCCACTCCCCAGCCAAGCTCCCTGCGCCGCAGTATCTTCCGCAGTTTGCCCGGCCCACCATGTGCTCGGGAGAGTTTTAGGGGAATCAGCACTTTTCACCGTCCTAGCCCTTCACAGACATCAACTCATCGATCTCCCCACCCCGCCATCGGCACTTTGAGGTAAACGTGGAAAGAATTACCTCCCATCCCCCTTTTACAGTGTGGGAAACGGGAGATTTGTTCTGCTTCGGAAACTATATGACCACACCTTCTTCGTGAGGAAACCTGCTCCCTGGGTCTGTTCAGAGATACCTTTGCTACTTGCCTAGAAAAATGCCTGCTCCTTTTGTTTTACTCCTGCTAGCCCCACAAAGCCACATAAGGGACTCAGAGAGCCAGCTGGGTTCTGGTCCTTCTTGTGCATCATCAGCTGAATTGTTTACTAGATCAGTTACATCGGGTGCCTGTGCAAAACTGCCGATAGTATTGGGGCTACCATAAAATCTCCCATGGTTTCACTACCACTAGGGGCTTGTTAATCTCTAAGGTGCCACAAGTACTCCTTTTCTTTTTGCGGCTACAGACTAACACGGCTGCTACTCTGAAACTAGGGGCTCTGTGTAAACTCAAAAGTTTGTCTCTTTCACCAACAGAAGTTGGTCCAATGAAAGATATTAGCTCCCCACTCACCCTTTTCTCTCATGTTATTTGTGTTGTGGTACAGCTAGGGCTCCATTGTGCTCAGCACTGTACAAACACATAACCAAGGATGGTTCTTGTCCAAAAAGACCTTACAATCTGAGCCCTTGTCTAATCTCAGAAGTTGTGTGACTTTATCCTAAATGTGTTTTTAAACTGGTGCAACTCCCTAAGCGGACCCTCTTATTTTGGAATGGTAGCCATGTTAGTCTGTATCAACAAAAACAACGAGTACTCGTAGCACCTTATAGACTAACAAATTTATTTGGGCATAAGCTTTTGTGATGAAGTGGGTTTTAGCCCACGAAAGCTTATGGCCAAATAAATTTGTTAGTCTCTAAGGTGCCACAAGTACTCCTCGTTCTTTCCTCTTATTTTGGTTTAGCTTAAACCTGTTCCTAACCTATTTAAGTTAAATTACAAGAAAGCTGGTTTAAACCAAAATAAAAACATCCCACTGCACAAGTTTAAAATCACAGCTTTAGTTAAAGGTGCATCTTTCTCATGAGAACAAGCTCTAAGTAAGAGATAAGAGACAAGTGGTGGATAGGACAGACAAGGGGAACAAAAAACAGCAGGACCACACTGTTTCGCATGATAAGCTGTGGTCTTAGAACACCAGCTGGCTATCTGTTGTCATGGTGGTAGAGAGAGCAACAGCAGGCCCATACTAGGAATCCCACTGTTACTAGCATCAGTGGAGCTGCATGATGCATTGCAACAGTGAGAGATCTGGCAAAAAAGCTCAGTGTAGACACACCCTTAGATGTGTGGGCAGGGACTGGTAAGAAGTGGACATGGCATTTTACACCTAGGACCTTAAAGACTGAAATGGCAGGGAGTAGCCAAAGCATTTCACACTCCCCAGGAAAGGGGGATGGGTGAGGAATGACCCATTGCAGGGGGATAGTGTGAAACGGCACCCTGTAAATATTGTTAGTGTCTGCATCCTAATTCAGTGATGAATCAGAACACATAGTCCCCTTGATTACTCCCCATTCCTATAGTGGAGGACCTGAAGCAGATGATCAGTCCCAAACACACTGAAGCACCCCTCTCGTCCTATTGGGATAATATACATACCAAATTAAACATGAACCACTCCTAAACCAATTTAAATGTGTCCACACAAGGGAGTTCCACAAGTTTAACTCGACCTGGTCTACACATAGTTTTTGTATCACTTAATCATCCCCCAGTCTGGATGTAGTTATGCCAGCAGTTCTCAAACTGTGGGTCAGGACCCTAAAGTGGGTCAGGACTCTGTTTTAATGGGGTCGCCAGGGCTGGCATTAGACTTGCTGGGGGCCTGGGCTGAAGCCAAAGTCAGAGCCCCACCGCCCAGGGCTGAAGCCCTTCTGTCCCTCCCTGGGTGACGGGGCTCAGACTTTTGGTTTGGTGGGGCTTAGGCTTCAGTCCCCCTTCCCCATGTAGTAATTTTTGTTGTTAGAAGTGGATCACGATGCAATGAAGTTTGAGAAATCCTGAGTTATACTGTATAAAGGCATTTATATTGGTATAGTTTAGGAAACTAACTCCATCCCAGCTAGGGGTTATATTGCTTTTAACTAGTTGACACGGTTAGGTTAGGCTGACACAGCTATGGCGCTCAGGGGTGTGAATATTTTCATAGCTATGCTGACCTAACCCCTGGTGTAGATGCAGCGAGGTTGAAAGAAGAATTCTTCTGTTGACCTAGCTACTGCTGCTTGGAGAGGTGGATTACCTACAGCAACAGAAAAATCCCTTCCATTCCATGGCAGCAGCTATAGTATAGATATGACCTATATCTCTTACTAAAACAATATAGTTAAAGTGATACAAAAACTGTGTAGAAAACCAAGCCTTAAATCAATTTAGAAACCAATTTAGTTAAATCTGTACAATTTTTGTGTATAGATTAGAGCTAAGGAAGCAAAAAGGGGGCACAAAGGCTTTTTCCCTTTGCAGATCGCCGTTAAGAGACCATTTCAAAGTATCCCCAAAGGAATAGAGCATACTTCTGCTCCATTATTATTAGGAGCTTAGGACAGGTGGTGCCATAATTTGGGACCCCAAAGGGGTTCCTTGTGGTGATGGTACTCCTAGTGGCAGAGCCAGGTTTTGCAAGCAGGGGTCAATGGGTCATTGGTGGTAGGCTGGAGGGTGAGCCTTCCCCATGCTCACCTAGAACAGCAGTTCCTTCTTGCTCTCCATCCCCATGTGAAAATTTTACACCTCCTTTTGTCAACTGCATAAAAGCCTTGAAAAAGGACCACTCATACACCTGAAGGCTGCTGGGGGCAGGGTGGGGGGCAGTTGCCACTCTTGTTCCTTTGTTAGCTCCACCGCTGGGTACCCTGTTTCTTGAATCCAGACAAACTCTATCAGTCCTTCATACCTACCTACTGTTGGGCATCTAAGACCTGCTCGATGACCAAAGACAGGAGGAGATGCTCAGGGATGTCTGTCCATAAAGTGGCAGTAGTAAATGGACTTCTCATCGTAAAAGATAAGTCTTGCTTAAGAGGTGACTGATTGAAAGCCAAACAATGTTTTTTTTTTATTTGTGTTCTGAACTTAATAGGCAGAGCAGATGCACTGAGAGTCTTTGGGAAAAGACTGTGATTTTCCTTGGTACTGAGAATGAATTCATATGGCTTCATTCCAAAAAGTTCTTTTCCACCGTTACCTCAAAAGGGTCCCTTGTGTTCTGTGGGCAGGAATTGAGCACCAGGCCCCAACCTCAAAGACCAACTCTGTTAATTGATTTTTGAGTAATCACTTGAGAAACTAAATTTCCTCCTTTTTAGACTAATAGCAAAGAGTGTTGGCTTGCAGCCTGAGGCCCTGTCTAGACTAGGAAAATAGGTAGCAGCTAACAGGATTTTAAACACCACTTAGCAATCTTTCAAAACATGTTAGATAGTAGTGGTCAGCTCTACGGGGGAGTCTAGGGCTGATCATAACCATCTTAGACCTCTTTAAAACTGTTAAACCTTTGTCTACACTAGGTGCTAAGTAGAGTTTAAAAATTTGTTAATTAAAACATGTCAGCTACCACCCATTTTCCTCCTCTAAATAAGTCTCTAGTGGTCTTGCTTTGAGCGTTAACAGCCATTATTTATCCTAGTCTACACTGGCAACTGTAACCCTTTTGGTCTCATTCTATGAGCAGTAGACCAGAGTTTATGAATGTCCTACAGAACTACCACGTGTGAAGAACACAAAACTAATTACAAAGTGTCTAAACCTTAACCTGGTCTATGTCTGGCTTCCATCAACATAGCTACAGTCTCTCCAGAAGGTGGAGTTCCTACACCGATGGACAAACAGCTAAGGCACTATATCAATATAGTTCCCGTATCGTAGACATGGCCTGGTTCTTCAGTCAAGTTTAGGGGAATAGCTGCATCCCTTCTAGGGGTTTGTACTGCTTTAATTATATCTGATTCTAAAACAATATAGTTAACATGGTACAAAAACTCTGTGTAGACAAGCCCCATATTTCATATATATATGAAGACACAATATCTGTCCTGAAAAACTCATTAAGAAGAGATAGCAGTGGATGATAGTGAACAACAAGTTATGGCTCTCATTCTTCTCTCACTTAAAGTATTGTAAATCAAGAGAAACTCCATTGAAAGTAATGTAGTTACACCAGTGCACAATTCTGTGTTAGAAGAATCAGAGCCTCAGGGCCTGATTCAGCAGTGACTTCCTTCTTGTGTAGTTATTTTCACACCTATGCAAAGTGGGTGTAAAACACTGCCAAATCAGAATGGTAACATTTTAAAACCATCTTGCCCAGATGTAAATGACAACATAAGGTGCAAGGCAGTAGAGAATCAAGCCCTAGATGTGAATTTGTGATGCAAAATGTTCAATGTATTCCTAGCTACATATGCAAAAGCATGATAGAGAATATACAGGTAATAATCCCTCTCTGTACAACTCTGGTGAGACAACTCTTGGGATAGTTCTGGTTGCCTCCTTACCAGAAAGGTGTACACTGATTAGAGAGTGTTCAGAAAAGAGAAA